GATGGCTCCTAATCCTCCTAAGCCTGAAGAATTGCCCATAGAATGCAGGTCAGTTTTCTATGCCTAATTTTCACAAACTATATATTTGTTATTTAAAACATGGTGGTTACATATTAAGAATTCCTATTGCGGACTTAAATAAAATATATTAACAATAATGTTCTGGCAGAGAAATTATGATGGAATACTCCAAGCAAGTAATTGAATTGGCGCGCTCTTTGCTTAAATTGTTATCAGAAGGTCTGGGACTGGAGTCGAACCACCTGATAAACATGGACTGTGCAGAAGGGCTTGGAATGATCTGTCACTATTATCCAGCTTGTCCAGAGCCCGAACTCACATTCGGTACGACCAAGCATTCCGACAATGATTTCATAACAGTGCTTCTACAAGACAATCTAGGAGGCCTTCAAGTGCTACATCAAAATCAGTGGGTTGATGTTCCACCTACACCTGGTGCCTTGGTGATAAATATTGGAGATCTTCTACAGGCAAGTCTTTGATATACACTCCGTTCTTATCTTTAATAATTCGCAAGTGTACGCACATATATGGAAATTCACTCATATATGTGGTTTAGAACAGTACAGTATATCTTTGGATAACCTTACTTATGCTGGAACATGTTTAGCTTATATCGAACGACAAATTCAAAAGTGCTGAACACAGAGTACAAGCAAGCCTTGTTGGTCCAAGAATATCTGTGGCTGGTTTTGTTAGCACGGGACCTTACCAGACCTCAAAGGTTTATGCACCAATTAAGGAGTTGTTGTCAGAAGATAATCCCCCGAAGTATCGTGGAACCACTGTGAAGGAGTACACAGACTACTTCCGTGACAAAGGGCTTGATGGCACTTCTGCCTTACTTCATTTCAAACTGAACTAAGATGTAAACGGATGCAGATTAGCATCATGGTTGCTGAGAAACCATTTTCAGAAGTCAAAAGAAGAGATCTATGTGAAATCTTTGTATATTTGATAGTGTTTAATACTGTCAAAACCAGCCGACAAAATATGTCAAGTTATAGTAGTGTTGAATGCACAAGAAAATTCCTTCTCACCTTGTAAGCAGGGTTCATATCTAA